ATTAAAGTGTGAGTCGATACAAATTTGGCGCAGCTAGGTTCGCCGTGAAAGGGGTTGCGCAATTCACTATCGCGAAATTCTTCACACACACATGCTCGCATGCACAGGGTATTTTTTTCTCACTGAATAGCACTGATGTAACTACATACGTATTTTTCCTATTCAGGCTTACAAAAAATAATATAAATACGAAATCTGTAAAACATTGCTGGCTAGTCGCTAAAGCAAAGAACAAATCTAGGTGAAGCGGAAAAAGTTATTTTTTATTGCGACTGTTCTTCTACATCTTCATCCTCCCTACTGCATGTTTATTTTAGGGCTTCGCTCTTTTTGAGTTGCTAGTAAGGTCACAGTATCGGCGGTCCAGGAGAAGATCAAAGTTGAGTCACTACGAAGTACTAAGGGAGTCCAGCTGATTCCATGGGTGTTGATAGGGCCGTTCTATTGCTTCAACCTTATCCTACGTCCGATCCGAGGCAAAATCTCAAACGGAAAGCCTATCAGGCGGCACCTGGTCGTAATGGTGTGCCACCTGACAAGGGATTGGTCATGTTGGATATTAGCACTATTTAAATATTGTCTCACCTTTTAAATTTCTTCCCCCCAACAGGATCACAATCACTATTGTTTCGAAATTTGTTTTATTTCAGCTCTAATTGCCTTCACAGCGCAAGGTCTGTATGGGTTTTTCCTTCTTTATGCACTTCACGTGTCTTGACAGAATTTTCCTTCACTTCTAAAATAAGCTGATGAGAAGGGAATATATGCTAAGAATGTGCTAAAAGCCGTTCTCATGCTTTCGTAAAGCTTCCCTACCTAACGGAGGAATCGATTTTCTACCTACTTTGGTCCGTTGATGCGTGTGTGGGTGAGATTTGCATCTGTCTATGCAATCTGTCTATTCCCATCTATTGAGTTGATAAAGTCAAGGAAAGAAATATTGGCCTGCCTAGGAATTTTTTTTCATCTTGGAATAAGGTGCACACTACAAATGAAAAAATCGGCTTCTTTCGTTAAAAATTGATAGTGCAACGCGACTTGATCGGAATATATTCGGCGTCAGTGCTCAATTCATCAGTTCAGATGAAATAAAATCGAGAGTTCTTGGAATGGTGGAACTCAGAGGAGCTGGGTTAAGTACAGCAAAAAATATTGCCAAGGAGATTCTTTCTGTGTTAGAAAAATACGAAATAGCTCTAGACCAAATCGTGTCAATTACTTCAGATAACGGGGCAAATGTGATAAAGACGTCGAAAATCTTATCAGAAATTAACTTGAACGATGATGACATGGAAGATGCCGGTATCGACGAGAACGTCGAGTGCATAAAGCAAATCGAGCATTTTGAAAAAACTGAAACTGCGCTTTTCGGTGATATACAAATAAATAAATTTGGAAGCAATCAAATGGTTACAGTGACTTGTTTGAACTGAAAAATTTTAAATTACCTCAATTGGATTGTCCAACTAAATGGGGATCAATTTACAACATGGTTGACCAACTCAATAAGGCGAAAGCTATTTTAAGCCTTATTAAAACTGTCGAGAATAAATCAAGAGATGACGATTTTATAGTAAATGAAATGTTATGGGACTTTCATATTTGTATGTGACTATAATGGCTCCACTGTAAAAGACCATAGTGCAGTTCCAAGAGGAGCAACTTCACTATGGGAATTTATATGCTCTGTGGCTGGTCTGCAAACTGACCACTAATCAAGATTTCTCAAAAAGCACTGCGGATTCAATTATTTATACAATTGGACCAAAGTGCACACTCCCATTGCAACATTGTCATCATCTACTAGCTCATTTACTTCAGAGGACAACAATAGAAAACGAATTTTTATATTTGACTTTTTAATATATGAAAATCCATGCGAGAGGAAATTATGCGATGCGGAGCTCTACGAACTAAATAGGTTTTATACAAAATATGTTTTATATGAAGTTCAAAGAAATGTGTAATTTTTTTTGTTGTATTTTGGATAATAATATTAATAATAGGCAGTATTAAATAAAGTTTATTTCATACGCTTCACTGAAAGAAAAAAATAAATTTGAGAACAAAAAAAAAAACAAAAAAAAAATTACTTGTTTAAATATTCATCAATATTTATATTTATTTTAGTTGTAGAAAATTTTAAAAGGGCCTCCAAATTACTATTTGTCAATCGGTTTTTATGACTATTTTTTATTAACTTAAGAGTCGAAAAGGCGTTTTCACAAACTTAAGTACTCCCAAACATTCGCAATATGTTACTACGCAGAGACGGATATTTTTGACACCTTTACATTTCCAAAAATCAAGTCCTGTTAAATTGCCTGCCCCCAGTTCATAATAGGATTGCAAATCACACAACTCCAATAAAAACGCAGGATTTTGGTCTAGTATTTTCGCAATTCATGGGATTATAAAAAATATCCATACTATTTTTAATAGTATCAAAGTCAACAAAACGTTTTTCAAAATTAATTTTTAAAAAAATAATATGGTTTTTAAATTCAGTAGACTCATACTAAATATAAATATAACGAATAAGAAATTCGTCAAAAACTAATTTTAATGAAGGAAAACTACTTAACTTATTGGCTTTTAAATCAATTAAAAATACGTCGATTTTTTTCAAAAACCCTTCAATAGAACCCATTAAATTAAAAATATGCCTATTTTGACTTTGAAGGTTGCAGTTCAAATTATTAAGGTGAGAAGTTAAATCTGTTAAAAATCCAAGTCTGATGTTGAAGTCTTGTAATTTTATTTCGCTGAAAAATTCGAAGCTTAGAATGTTTTGTTCCAAGAACTCAACTAACTCCTTTCAAAGCTCAAAAAATCGGTGAAGGCAATTTCCACGACTTAGCCATCTCACCTCCGTGAACAACACCAGGAATAATTTAAGTTTACGGTGGTCTAATGATATATATATATGTGGTTTCCTTATATTGGGTCTCGCATTCTTCAATGAATAATTTAAGTTTACGGTGGTTTAATGAATTATGTCCACCACGCAACTTATTGATAATTTTAACTATCACATTGATAGTGTGTTGATGAATGGCTCAATAGAAAGATGTAATCAATTTCCCTAGGAACCCATTGTTTTTTCCCAACATAGCAGAAGCACCATCTGTGCATACGGAGGAAAATTTTTTGATTTTTTTGGCTAACGTTAACTTTTCTAAAATCGCATTGTAAATATCAATTGTACATGTATTTTCTAGAAGCCATCTTCGACAATTCGGGTTGCAAGACTCATCTAAGGCAATCGAAAAATAAGAACACCACTTTAAATTTTTGCTTAAAAGAGAATTTAAATATGTGTTTAAATTTTCAACTGTACGTGTTACCGTAGCTCTGGACAATGACACGGTATCAATTATTTTGGCTGTCTGATCACTAATTTCCCCAAAACATCCTAACATTTCTTGGCATACCTTTTTAATAAAAGGGCCATCGCAAAAGGGCTTACAATGTTTGGCAATAGCTAAGCTGGCTACATACGATGCCTTTAATGACGCTTTACTATTAAGGTTCTGAGTTAAAATCACTTTTTTTTTGTTGCTGCATGGATATTTCTTCAACATCATCTTCTATATATCGAAGTATTTCTTCTGCATCGTCGCTGTACAATTTTTGAATAATGGCTTTGTGGTCTGGAATCAATCCATTCATCTGCCCTATGGCATAGCCGGAATTGTCGCTCAAAATTGTATTTCCTGTCCCCAATCAAAACCTTTTTCCAAATAACGCACTGCAATTCGCATTTAAAATTTCTGCAATGAAAAGGGTCTCAAAATATTCAGTAATTTTTCCGCTAAAAATAAGCATCAACTGCTCGCCTCGCTTGTTCGCTAAGTAGTGCAGTCGAGCTAGTGTCAGTGTGCTAGTGCCTCAACTTGAGTTGAAAACAAAAACAAATTGCATTTGTATTGCCCATGACGACAAAGTGCTGTGAAATTTGTTTTTGCTGGTGCCGAAAAACTGAGAGAGGGGGGAAAGAGAGAGAGATTCTAAGAATTTTGTGTGCCTTAAGGAGTGAGCAACGAACCTTATGGCGTGAGCAGTCTCACACAACTCTGTATGCATGAGCATTTGCAAAAACATATGAGCAGCGAGAGCAATGGGATGGGCACCACTGGCCTAAAGTCAACACACTTGGATAATAAGATCGACAACTTGAGTTTATTTGAAGACGACAATTAATTATTTACTAAATACATTTTTCACAGTACTATATGACTTAACAGCATAATTTTTGAATTTTGATTTAATTAGAAGTTTTTCATTTTTATTTTTTGTTCCTGAATAAACCATATGTTAAATATGATTACTTATTATTAGCTAAAACGCATTCTTGCAAGGGTAAAGATAGTGCATTAAAAGCAGGTGAGCCAAAAAAAAACAAAAATACGCTAAAGCAGTAGCACAAAAAAAATATTTTTGCTCTGCTCTGCTCTCATTCTCGATTTTTGGCTACGGCTAGCATTATATCTATGCATCTCACTGCTACGGAGTAGTAAATGCAAACCCTACTCAAGTCAATCGGGCTGTAAAAAGAAAGCGTTTGAGAGCGAGAGGGAGGGAAAGGAAGAATTATATTTTTTATAACGAAATATCTTTGGAACATTGAAGAAATTAAACATTAATAACGACCGCAGAGGAAAGAGATAAGATATCGTCTATTATCTTTACTCCAAAACTCCATGATTTTCTTAGGGGCGCGTTTTGACCGTTTTGGGCCCAGATGTCCCATATATGTATTTTATGATCTTTGGTATAGCCCGCGTTTATCCAAGATAAGTTAAGATTAATATTATACCTTTCATTTGTGTGCAAATGAATGAAGATCAGATACGCAGACAGAAATTTTTTTAATTTTTCAGCTTTACTTTTACCCCTTTTCTAAAAATAGAATCCACAGGGATCTCGATGTATATTCAATATATTTCTAATTTACAAATTTAATGAAATCAAATTTTATGTATTCATTTTTCTTACAGGCTGATGCCAGCTTAGGCATGCATGAACGTGAATATATTCAGGAATCTTTAAGTTATGTTTTGCGCATTCAGGAAGTGCAGGAAAGAATTAAATTTGAGTTCGTTGAGATATTGCTTGCTTTTATTTCCGGTTGGTTGGTATTTTATCACACAGCACATGAGCAAGCGGAAGATCATAGAGATTACCTGCAAGACCTAAGGCATAAAGTTCAAAAGGTAAGATTTAGTTTAAACGTATAAATTCACGTTGCAAGAAATATATATATGAATAAATCAATGTTTCAATCAAAGAAGAAATTTAAATTTTTTCGTTGTATATAAAAAAAAATGTATTATTTTTTTTTTAAATATTTTTAAATATTAACTTCTTGTGTTAAACAAAAATTTCTGTGAAAAATGTCAAAAATTACCGAAGTTTGGTCATATTAGCCTTACGGTCGGAAAACTTAAGCTTCCGTGAAATAAGCGTAAGGAAAATCACGTTAGATTTAGTAAGTCATCCTTCATGAATTTCCTACAACATTTTGAGAAAACCAGAATTCTAAAGCTTTTGTTAAGCTCAGGAAAGAAGAAGAAGACCAAATACTACGACGATCGAATCCTTTTACGATTTAGCATGACTGATCGTTTCAAATCTGCGAAACATGTAAGAAGTGAGTTTGCCCATCCAAAACGAGTTGAAATAAGCAGTCGAAACGAGTTAAAATAAGCACTCGAAGTAACCATGAGGAGGCAGGACCTCGTGGCCGGCGAACAGCAAAAAAAACCGTTTTGACCGCAAAAATTCTCCAGAAAAGGCTAGACTCAAAATGCATAAATCTTAGACTGTAAAAGATTGGCGGAACGTCATTTTTTATAACGAAACAAAAATAAACCTTTTTGGTTACAATGGTATGCGGTACGGCCGGAACTAAAATTAAACTGGCCGGAAGATAGACCTGATTTCATTCCTATTCAAAATCTTTGGCATATTTTGAAATATAAAATACATAAAAAGAAACCAAAATAATTAAAAGAATTTAATTTGTCAATGGAAAGTGTATGTTATAAACCCCTAACTAAGGAAACTATCGAACATTTGGTTGATACTATGCCATCAACAATAAAGGCCGAAGAGGGCCAACTAAATACTGAAGAACAAAAAATAATTGTCATTTTCTTAATATGGTTGAAAAAAAAGTCCTTTTCTTTGCCTAAATTTTCGTTAATTTCATTGAATAATTTTTTATTTTTTCAAAATAAAAAAAATTCAATTTATTTAATTTTAAACAAAATAAAATAAATTTAGAAAAACACATTTTTAATTAACAATTATATTAATTTTATCGATTTACTCCATAAATTTTACAAATTTACTCCATGGTTTTATTTTCTGCCTTTGCCGATTTAATTGTCCGCTACTTTAGTTGTCCGATCGTTATGAGATTTTCATTAAAAAATTAATTTCTTAAAACATATTTTTTCAAAAAGTGACAAGCTTCTACATGTTCCCCTTTAGGGGAACCCCAGCATAATGATTGCACAATTTCCAAATTTTTTAAGTGTGGCTTTTATTGTGGCGCTGACTGTATCTTCTATTCTATATAATATTCCTTTGCTTCTATTTATCTTGCTCTCTATTTATTTATCACGAAAGTTGCGTCATTTCCGATCGTTCAGTTATATGGCAGCTATAGGATATAGTCGGCCGATCCTTATGAAATTTGGTAGGTTGGATCAACTGACCAAAAATAGAATTTATACGAAGTGCCTTCAACATGACGAAAGTTGGGTCATTTCCGTTTATTCAGTTATCTATAAAAAATAGTCGGCCGGTCCTCATTAAATTCTGTACGTCCTCTTATTTTCCCAAAAGTCGCATTCGTACATAACCCGAAACCCGAAAAAATTCTTCCTACAAGGTGTGTGTCAAAAGTTTCCGAACTTCTCTGGCAGGGCATTTTCTGGTGCCGCCATCTTTGTGTGAGTATATGCGTTTGAAAGATACATTATTCACCGATTTTCCCTCCAAATTTCAAGACATTTGGAACAGTGGAATTTGAATTATTGCGTTTTAAGTGACAGTACCTTGTGTTAGTTGGTCGACGAAAAATCATGGAGCAAAGAGCGGTTATTAAGTTTTGTTTTAAACTCGGTAAAACTTTCACCGAGACTCATAAATTGATGAAACAAGTTTATGGTGATGATTGTCTATCCCGTACCTCAACTTACGAGTGGTTTAATCGTTTTAAAAATGGTCGTGAAAGCCTGGAAGACGACGAACGTTCGGGCCGTCCGAAAAGTGCTGTTATTGATGAAAACATTCAAATGGTTCGTGATTTTGTCAAAAAAGAACCAAAATCTTCGTTGAGATACATGGAAATGGAGTTGGAGATATCCTATAAGTCTATTCATCGCATTTTGATTGAGCATTTGGGTATGGGGAAGGTTTGTGCACGGTTTGTTCCACACACACTCAAAGAGCACGAAAAGGTGACCGATTTGACAATGACTTGTGACCGATTTTTTAACAAAAAATTACATTCTTACCGTCAACGACTCACCATATTCACCTGATTTAGATCCGTGTGACTTTTTTCTATTCGGAAAATTAAAATTGGCAATGAAAGGAAGATATTTTGATGACATAAAGTCCATTGAAAAGGCGACGACCGACATACTAAAGGCCATCCCGGTTGACGAGCTAAAACACTCATTCGAATCACTTTTAAATCGTGCAAATCGTTGTATTGAGTCGGAGGGAGACTATTTTGAATAAATGCAAAGTTTCATTCCAAACTATTTTGTAGTTTTTTTTCTTTTTGAAAAGTTCGGAAACTTTTGACACACACCTTGTATGTCACTTTAAAAGTGAAGCCTACATCTTCGCTTACTGTACTGCGTACAAGGACGTGAAGTGCCGTGAAGAAATGTGGAAACTGCGGAGGCAACCATACGGTAAACTAATGAGGATTTGAAGAGTCAAAGTATCTCAAGCTTTCAAACGATTCGCCAACATACACCCACAAGCTACTGGAATCATACCTCTACAATAGGGTATTCTCAGTGAGATGCTGCCTTAGTAGCTCAAGTAGCTGTCTTACTTCGGGCGACTACATCATTAAAGCTGGAGTTTGACAAGGAAGCGCACTCGGAAGGGAAGGGAAAACATCCACCGGGATCTGGGAATCTTCGCAATGAAAGACGAAATCCAGAAGCGAAAAGTGTCCTACAAGGAAAACCGGTTTTCGCACCCAAATTTCCTCGCTCGGACTCCAGTCATAAAAGTACAAGACTGAATATGTATACATACATTCATACTTATGTATGTATATACCTTATTGTTCCGGCACTCGTTTATTATAGAAGAACGAAATATCAAGATCGCAGCCCATAAAGGGAAATTTTTTTTTAACTTTAAATACGTTAATAAAAGAACTTACCATTGAAATTTCGCATCCAGCAATTCGTTCGCTTTAATTATTTGACTCTGAACATTTTTTTTGACAAGAAACCAAAAAATTTAGTACTTATTTACTATATTTTCCTTCGTATTTTATATTTTAGTTGCCGGATCAAAGTTGCGTCATTTTTAAATTACAATAACTCAAATAGTTATAGAAAATTTTAAAAAATGTCTTTTTAAAAATAAGGTTAAAAAAAAAAAACTCATTTCAATAGATTTATCATTTCTCCAGACAAAATATCTATCTCAACCAGAATTTCTTGATCGTCGGATTGAAAAGATTGGTTTAAGTCGACCCATATTAAAAATAAGAATATTGCTAAAGAAAAATATATTGTCTAGAGACTCCAATAGTCACCCTGCCACCAATCCAGTTTTCGCAAATTTCTCCCAAACTGAAACTTTTTACAAATGTTTGGATAAAACAAGAAAGGAAAGCTAACTTCGGGCGGAGCCGAAGTTGATATACCCTTGCAGTTAAAACCGGATATATATCGCAAACATTGGATACAGTTGGCCGATCCTTATGAGAATATCATAATAAAACCAATTAACTAAAATAAAAAATCTAAAAAAAGTCCCAAGCTTCTATCTTAAAATATGCGAAAGTTGATATTTCTACCAAATACTATTTTCGATCGTTCAGTTATATGACAGCTATAGGATATAGTCGGCCGATGCTAATGAAATTCGGTAGGTTGGATCAACTGACTAAAAATAGAATCTGTTAGACGGACATGCTCATATCAACTCAGGAGGTGATCCTGATCAAGAATATATATACTTTATAGGGTCGGAGATGTCTCCTTCAATGTGTGCAACGCAGTCACTTTTGGACAAAATTATAATATGTCGAAGTTGATATACCCTTGCAGTTAAAACCGTATATATATCGCAAACATATATATATGTTTATATATCGGCTCCGCCCTAAGTTAGCTTTCCTTTCTTGTTTAAAATATAAATTAAATCTTTTTCTCAATTTTTTAACAATTTACTTTAAACTTTCAGAAGAGAAAAAAGGGTTAAGAAAATATACATATATTTATTTATTATATATATATCTATATTTATTTCAATTTATTGTATTCTATATTTATTTATGGTCGCGATGGTAGCGACATATCATCATCGGGCCAATAGCCCCCATGACGCCATAAAAAGATACATCTCCGCCACAAAAACAGCGACATATCGCCCAGAAAAATTTACCTGCAGAGATATATCGCTATGCCTGAAAATCGTCTTTCAGAGTTTTTTGCCAATAAGGAAGCCAGTTATAGCCATATAACTGATTTATCAAAAATGCCATAACTTTAGTAGTTTTTTAAATTTTAAGTTTGGGACTTTCCACTAAAGTTCAGAAGAATCGGCCGACTATATCCTATAGCTTCCATATGACTCAACGATTAGAAATTCTGCAACTTTCATGATAATGGTTATAAAACTGTGGGACTTTCCAAATTCACATTTCCTAAAGGATCGGTAAACTATATCCGATATTTGCGATGTGTATGCTGTATATACATGTATATGCACATCAAATCATATACCATTCCATTGAACTGCAAGGGTATATCAATTTGGACTTCTCTCAAAGTTAGCTTTTCTTTCTTTTATTTCATATTTAATTTCGAACATCCGCCATATTTTCCCCTAGAAATAGGCGAAGCTTTACATTTTCGTTTAAGCGACAAACGTGGCAATTGGAAATCTTCGTCCATTTAACAACCACACAGTCAGGAATTTTTTACTACAACTACTAAACATT